TTTGTTGCAATGCAATCAAATCCCACAAAGGCATAAAAACATGTTGCAGCACCAGCCAATGTTCCTGAAAAGCCATATGGCATAAAGCCACCAACCCCAAATATGCTTGTGACGTTTATCCAGGAAGAATAATTTCTACAGAAAATTGAAATACAACAGGAAAAAGAATTTTCAAATTGAAGAAATCTAATGGGTTTTTTAAGCACCATGACTGATATGAACACTTTTAAAATGCAGCATAGTATCAAGATAGGGATCTTTTTACAAAGCTCTTAGTACAAACTATTTTTGGATGAAGATTGAGATAAAGATCTTCCATCAAAAATTCATTAAGAATAGAAAAAAACATGGATTATCAAATAAACATTATAATCTCTGGCCCTACTTCTATTGGAACTACAGGTTAAACCTCTCTGGTCCAGGGGCTCTTTGGTACAGCTCGGCCAACCCAGCAGCCACTGGGGGCTGGGAGTCCAGCTTGACAACTGCTGGGGGGCCAGAACAGAACCCAGCAACTGCTGGAAGCCAGGAGCACAGCACAGCAACTGACGGGAGGCTGGTGCCTCTGGAAGAGCCCTGACCTCCTCTGGCAAACTCCCTTGTCTGAAATCAGTCAGGTCCTGAGGGTGCTAGACCAAGAAGGTCCAACCTGTAATGGCACAAAACACCCATTGACTTTAATGATACAGGATCAGGTCCAATATCCGGTATTACAAATAAATAATTAACTTTATACGTACATGCCCATAGCTTCTCAGGTGACTTAGGCTGAGATTACTAAAGGCAAAAACGTAACAAGTATAAAATATATTTCTGTTTCAGGACACAAGTTTACATTTCTAAACAACACAATAAGCCTAAACCTATTGCTACAATGCATAGGATACCAGAGATGCATGTAAAACAAAGACAGTCTCCAGAATCTGCTTAAGCATAACCAAGAAAAACTGAAGAAAACAGACAGATGAAAAAACAATTACTCTGTTTGTGCTGTGAGGTTTATGAGAGATTCTTCGCTTATTTTCCAGTTGTTAACATCTCCTTTCACAAAGCCAGAAATCATAACAAAGAGGAGAACCAAGATGTTAACAGCAGTGAAAATCTTATTCACCCATGCAGATTCTTTCACTCCAAAAGACAGAAGACCTATGAAATATGAGAGGGGATTTTAAAGAGTCAGCATCTCCTTTACAGAGTAAAATAGTATCTTTAACAATGTATACATGAGAACAGTGTGACTAATACTAATTTTAGTATTTAGTTATTGATAGTAGATCTATGGCTTTTAGGTGTTAGTACTAGGTCAATGGCACTTCAATACTATACAAATACAATCAGGAGTCCTGAAGTACCTTAGATCAGCAGTGGGCAACTGGTGGGCAGATACGGGTGTCTTCCTGGGGGGGTCGCAGCACCAGGCCGGCTGCCAATTTGTTTTCCCAGCTTGGTGTCCGATGTGCACATAGCAGGGGCGGGAGCAGTGGCAGGGAAGCGGACCGGTGCTTTTTAAAGGGGCCACAACAAAAGGTTCCGGACGGCTTTTTTTTTTTTTTTTAACTCAACCAAAATTTTCCCGGCCCTGAGGGTCGCAAATTAAAAAAGATTGAGCACCACTGCCTTACATGATAGACACTATAAAAACTGTAAAATGGAGAGTTTAATATTCTCTTCCTCCAAAGGTTGATGACTGTCTTCTTCACTGACATTGATTCCACTATTCACTCAATAGCCAAAAATATTTCTGGGACTTGTAGTTTACTACTTTGCTGGGCCACCAGTCCACACTTCTATTTTGGATAAAGGAACTTCTAGGCTTAATATAACTAAAGTAAACACTAGGAAGCCGCTGAATTCAAAAATACACATTCATGAGTACATTTAAAATCTTTAGACCGTCTATAAAAAATTACATTTTATTTTACACACATGCACACACACAGAGATTACAAACGAAAAACCCCTATCATATTAAATTCTTCCACGTAAGTGCATTCATGGGAGTGAACAAGCAAAAAAGAGGCATTTTCAGTAATTATTAGAATTCTGTCTACAGTACACATAATTTAGGATAAGACACCATTCTGATTTTTAGAATTTCATGAGAAGTAAAAAAAAATTAAATTTAGAAATTTTTATTAAAAAGTAAAACATTTTAAATGAATGTTTTTTTCTTTCATGTTTTGACCAGTTCTAATCTATTTATGTTGTGCACATCCCAGTGCTATCCCCAGTTCCTAGAATAATGGGGTATACAGTAGGTCACTGGTTTTCAACCTTTTTTCATTTGTGGATCCCTAAAAATTTCAAGAGAAGGTGTGGACACACCTTTAGAAATCTTAAACATAGACTGTGGACCTCCAGGGATCCATGAATCACAGGTTGAAAACAACTTATATAGATTATTAAAATAATTAAAATACACCTCTCCTAAACCACTCTGATTTAGCTCCCAAATACTTTGATATAGAGAATTTCTTGGTCTTCTGTATTGTTGTGCAAGCCAGAGTATAAAACAACTGTCTTTCTATATAACTGACAATTCAGTTTGCATAATCTGAAAATTTTCCAAGGGGGCCCTGCTGTGAAGCTAGACAGGAGACAATTGAAGCATGGTCTGTAGGTTAGTGGAATACAAGATGACACACAGGGATGGGGAAACATAAAATATAGTAGAAAAGTCTTACACCATTTCTCTGTGAAATAAAGTATTTCCCATAATGCCACACCAATCTGTTTTTCCTTGTTATTTAGAGACTATAAGTTGAACTTCTCTAGTCCAGAACCCTTGGGACCTGACCGGTTCTAAACGAGAGAATTTTCTGGACTATGGAAGGTCAATATTGTCTAGCAGCATTACCAACACTTCCACTGCTTACTGTGCTGTTAGAGGACATTTAGAGCTAATAACAGCACAGAACGTTGATAGCTAAGACTGGTGGCTATAAACAAACTTTATGGGACCACAGGAAACTTGGCCACACCCAGTGCTTTTTTGTAAGAAAAAAGGTGCCGGTACTCTGGGGCAAATTTGTTGAGCCATAAATAAATAAATAAATAAATAAATAATTGACAATTCAGTCGTGGCCCCTTAAAGAGCTACAGTGCCGTGCTGGGAGTCAGCACCCTGAGCAGGCTTCCGGCAGGAGATGAGCCACCGCAGGAAAACAGGTGCTGGTACACATGAAGAAAATCCCATTCCCTTTCTATGGGCTGGGAAAATAAGTAATGGTATGCCATTCTGGACAGTACTGTCAGAAAAAAAGCACTGGCCCCACCATGAAAAGTGGAAATCCGGCTAAACAAAATCATTCTGGACAAAGGATGTTTCCGAATGAGAAAGTTCTGGATTAGAGAGGTTCATCCTGTAGACTGAAAATTTTAAGCCTATTAAAATGTCTTAATAATGAAATGTGGTTTTGCTCTTTCCTGTTATTCTGGACAAATAATAAGACAGATAATATTTTAAAAGTTAAAAGTCTGGAATCATTATTCCAGACATCTCACTTGATTTTTATATGGTTGTCTCTTTTCTCCCCTGCTTCTTTGTTTGCCCCTTTTTCTTCACCATCTTCTTTCTTTTACAGGACCCTTTCCTCCAAGCTATACTCCTTTTAGCAATGTCTTAATAAGAGATTAAATACTGAGCATGAAACTCTGATTTCCATTGTCTTGACCAGAAGCCATGATGGCTCAGAAAGGAAAAGTAGCCTTTTTGCTAGTGGCCACAGAGCACTGCCTAAGCAGTTTCTAGCAGTTATCTTCTCAGCACGCATATCTTTTGAACCAAATCAATCATGCTAATATAATATGGCTCAAAACAATGAAATCTGATTAGGGGATTTTGAGTATGCTAAGTGGGCTTTAGTGTCTAAATGAAGTGCTTGACTGTTACCCAACAGAAATTCAACTGGAAAAAAATTTAAGGGACTGTAGCAGTAGTACCAACTAATAAAAAAAGAGATTTATATAATTTAAAAGATAGATTATTAGCTTGTTAAATCTACAGAAGGTTCACTATACATAGCTGGCAATGAGAGGTGCCAATAGCTGAATACGAAGAAATAACCTTATGATTTAGTGTTTTGTAAATACCCATCTTTATTTAGGTTACTTAGCCTGATTGTCAGACCAAACCCTCATTTTCTTCCAGGTGACCATGCTTTATTTGAATTTGCAAACAAAATTACTCCTATCAAATTTATGTACAAAAAACGGGAGAATTTTTTAGGGCCAGGTGATCTAAATAGTAAATGTGCCAATAAATGACACTTGATAGTAAGTCAAATATCCACCAAGAAAAATGCTTGTTTTGTGGGCAATGCACTGTAACACTGAATTGTAAAATTTAAGCTTGTGACCTTGCTGAAAATATCCATTGCCTTTAGAACAAACAAAAATACAGATGTTGTCCAGTTATTCTTTTATTATAATTTCTACATTATGGATTTTACACAAAAGTTCTTACAGTTGATTACCTCAAGACTTACCTGAAGTTAAAAAAGTGTTTATATTAGCTTCTAATTATAGAGCCATTATATCAATGTTCTGTAAGCATTTATATTTCATTAATGATATAAGCTGTATCTTGATCAGACAAAACATTAGAACAATAATTCATCCTTTTCTATTACTTCTATAAAGAGAGGTACAGAATCTGTTCCCTGCCTCCAATAAATTCTCTATTAGTCACTATGACATTCTTAATGTAAAGAAATTTCTACTTCTTACCTGCCAGAAGCAATATAAGGCATACTGCAAAAAAGTCTGGATACTCTGCTAAACCAGAAAAGTCCATTCTGAAGTAGGTTCTGAAAAAATGGCCAATTTGTTTTCCAAGGAGTTCATCAAAGGTACCACTCCATGCTCTTGCTACACTAGATGTACCTTCATAAAATACAAAAAGTTTTAGGATTTTTCACAAATACAATAATATAACAGTATTGTAAAAAGAACATGTCACTATTTGTATTTGGAAAGATACAATTACTGTTAAACAAGTCAACTTTTTCTCCATACATTTTATTATGGCAGTTCATACCTATAGTATAATACATTAAGCTACAATATCAATATGCCAATTTACTGTATTAGAAAATTTCAAGTAAACTTTCCTATAATAGCTAACTTTGGTATCGTAGTCAGAGAGTTGTTGTTAACGGTGCTAAATCCTGCTGGAAAGGGATAACAAGTGGAGTTCCGCAAGGGTCTGTTTTGGGACCCGTACTGTTCAATATCTTCATCAATGATGTAGATATTGGGATAGAGAGTACGCTTATTAAGTTTGCAGATGATACCAAACTGGGTGGGGTTGCAACTTCTTTGGAGGATAGGGACATAATTCAAAATGACCTTAGCAAGTTAGAGAAATGGTCAGAGGTAAAAAGGATGAGGTTTAATAAAGAGAAATGCAAAGTGCTCCACTTAGGAAGGAACAATCAGTTCCATACATACAAGATGGGAAGCGACTGTCTAGGAAGGAGCATGGCGGAAAGGGATCTAGGGGTCATAGTGGACCACAAGTTGAATATGAGTCAACAGTGTGATGCTGTTGCAAAAAAAGCAAATATGATTCTAGGTTGTATCAACAGGTGTGTTGTAAGCAAAACTCGTGAAGTCATTCTGCCGCTCTACTCTGCACTAGTTAGGCCTCAGCTGGAGTACTGTGTCCAGTTCTGGGCGCCACATTTCAAGAAAGATGTGGAGAAATTGGAAAGGGTACAGAGAAGAGTGACAAGAATGATTAAAGGTCTAGAGAAGCCTATGAAGCCAGGCTTCATGAACTGGGCTTGTTTAGTTTGGAAAAAAGAAGATTAAGGGGGGACATGATAGTGGTTTTCAAATATCTAAAAGGGTGTCACAAGGAGGAAGGTGAAAATTTGTTCCTCTTGGTTTCTGAGGACAGGACAAGGAGTAATGGGCTTAAAGTGCAGCAGGGGAGGTTTAGATTGGACATTAGGAAAAAATTCCTAACTGTCAGGGTGGTCAAATATTGGAATAAATTGCCAAGGGAGGTGGTAGAATCTCCCTCTCTGGAGATATTTAAGAACAGGTTAGATAGACATCTGTCAGGGATGGTGTAGACGGAGCTTGGTCCTGCCTTGAGGGCGGGGGGGGGCTGGACTCGATGACCTCTCGAGGTCCCTTCCAGTCCTATTATTCTATGATTCTATGATAATAATAACAATTTTTCATTTAGAGTACTTTTCAATATATTACTTCATTATATTATGTTTTTATTTAATCCCAAAACATTCTGCAAATTTCAATGGATATAAAATTAACTTCCCTCCATGCTGGAATACAGCCACTAATGTGAAACATGGCAATATACACACAACCGTTTAAGATAGGAGGTAGAGTAGTTTTTCCAGCTGCAATTACAGAAATTTTAGTAGGCAGACTGAAATTGTCAGAGTCTGAATTTAGCCAGATTGCAAAGGTTAATCCCCAACTCTTCAAAAAAGTGCTACAGGGCAACAAGCAATGTCCCCCATTTTTATATCACTCTCAAAAAGCAACATCCCCATCAACAGTGTCCCCTAATATAATACTTGAACATCCTAGGTCAGTTGTGATGTAAGCCATGGTCCTGCAACTCAATCTGCACAGGTGGATATATGAATCCACACAGAACACCATTAAATTAATTGACTGTGTTGGTGGTACCCAGTGTCTATGCAAAGCTTCATTTACAGGATCACAGTACTGGAAGGAAGCATGATACATGAGTCATAAATATAACTTCTTCCCTCTTTCTTGACTTACCAAGGTGTCTCTCTGAATCTCTCTCATCCAAGCACATTCCAATTAGCTTCATATATGATGAGATAGCAACACAAAAGTGGTGTGTCTGCAGGATGCCACACCACTGATAGCATTACATGAACTGATATATACATTTCATTATTTGTTTTCAAGTATAGTTCTACAGTGATTGTATCATCCCTAGATCTACTTCCTGTTTGTATCTGGAGACATTTATTATTTACTGCTTTTACACCAACTAGTCCTGCAGAGCCAACACAGCAACAAGAAACCAAATTAGATTCTGTTACTTCGTGTGCATCATCAACAGAATTGTTTGCCAGTATTTTTCAGTTAGGTACACTTGTGTAAGCTGTTGAACTGGTTTACAAAGGCATCACAAAGGACCTATTTTGGTTTGAAGAAGCTTTATTATAGGGGATGATGTATGAGAAGGAAATAACCCAACTTGACTGTCAGATGCCATGGTGTGCCTAAAGTAACAGCAGTGAAGAAAAAAGAAAGCCCAAACCTATATTTTATTTCTATTTTTCCCTGTCACCCTATCAGTTTTATACTGTTCTCCCAAACTTACCTATAACATATGATAAAATGAGATTCCAGCCAGTGATAAAAGCCCACAGTTCACCAACAGTTACATAAGTATACAAATATGCAGAACCAGTCTTGGGAACTCGAGCACCAAACTCAGCATAACAAAGACCTGCCATCACAGATGCCAAGGCAGCAATGAGGAAAGAAATAACAATACTAGGTCCAGAATCTGCTTTTGCGACTTCTCCAGCAAGTACATAAACACCAGCGCCAAGAGTACTTCCTACGCCCAGAGCAATAAGGTCCACAGTGGATAAACATCGGCATAATTTGGAATCTTCAAGACTGTCCACACTGACAACTTTTCTTCTCAACAGACACCGAACAAATGACAGAACTGGTCCACAAGGTATCATTTTGGATGGAGAACTAGGAAAATAAAATAGATCATTAAAAGCATAGAAGATGTAATACAAACAGTCACAAATTAACCTTCCAAAAGCTATTTAGTTATTGAATAACACCTTTTGCATTTAAATGAAATTATCTGTCATTTGCAATAAAAAGTTCATACAGAAACGTCATCCTACCACAACTTTTCATTGCTTTGTTAAGACTCCGTTTATTTTTTGACTTAACTGACTGGCTGGAAATGTAAAATATATTATATGGCAACTGATTGTCATTATTACAATTAAAAAAACACACCTAAAAGATGAGAATCTGCAGTCTAATAAAAACGCTTAAGACTTTGTGATGACACACAAACGATACTACAGGGGTTTGGGTATCTAAAAACAAGGAAAAAGATGGTTAAAGAAATATTGTCTCATTATGACTTCAAAGTAAGATCACATTCATGCATGCACACTGTTCTATGAAGGTAAACAGAATTACTGTGAATTCTCCACAAAGCAGAAGAGGTAGAAATCTTACTACACTTTGTCCTAATCTACAATAGACCAGGTAGGTCAGCTTAAGGTACGCCTTATGTAGCTGGATTTGGCTTACCTTAAGCAGAGCCGCCACAGCATTTACACTGCAAGAGGCCAACGGGAGCACATGCTCCCACCTACTTCCCTTACTCCTCACAGATGGAGGAGTACCGGATGCTGGGAGGGGCTGCCTTCAGCATTCAATTTGGGGGTCTACACTAGACCTGCTAAATCGAACGCTAGAAGATCGATCTCTGTAGTGGAGACATGCCCTTTTGTTTTCTGCTCATATACTCTTTTCTGAAATATTTCCATTATATTTTAAACTTAACATAAGGTAAAACGAGAGCAAATAACTAACACTTTCATTATTGATGGCTTGCCCTCAACCTTCCCTACTACAGAATCAAAGCCAACTACAGGGTATCCCTGTTATAAATTGCCCTGCTATACATCCATTCCGCACTAAAGTCATTGACACTTGTAGGAACTGGTATGTTATAAATCCTCCCATTCCCTGCTCTTAAGTCACACCAAAAAAACCCAACTGGTGCAAATGGAAGTCAGCCGCAGGAAAAAAAATTCCCCGCTTTAAGTTGTTTTGCTATAAGTCTAAGTATTTTGGAATGTTTTTTGGACTTATAGCGAGGATGGCCTGTACTATCATATTATACAGACTGACTGTAAAATCTTCTTTACTATTGACATAATTAGGAGCAGAAACAGCTTCAATATATTTAAGGATTTTGTATTTTCCGATTCAAGGGTACAAATAGCAATCTTTTGTAAACAAAAAACAAAAAGCAAAGAAACCCAACAATTTTGATGGAGCCAGAACAATTCATGATTAGATTCAAACTATGAGGAATTTGCTTTTAACGTGCTCTTTAGTGAAAGTGGCTTAATGTCAATTTTTAAAAGGTTTATTTCTCCCCCTTTTATCAAAAGTAATGAATTCAGGAACATGAATTTAACCTTGTAATTATCTAATGAAGATTAAAAAAAATGTTCCTTTACCATGCAGTACCTTTGGTTCTTCAAGATATTGTGGTCAGTATGGATTACTCTGTGGATAAGCTTGCTTAAGGTTGTATTGTTTTGAACAGCATTCCCCTCAATGCGATGCACATATCCCACCCTCCTTATGTTCCTATGCCAGGGTATTAAAGTTGAAGCAGCCCCAAGCCTCCTTCCATTTCCTCACAATTCAAAGTCCTTCTTGCTGAGAACCCCAAAACCAGAGACGAAATGCAGCTTTTATGGTCCACACTGACTACATCTCAAAGATCCACAAGTACTGTAGGGTATAGAGCTGTTCTCTCCAAGTACATGTTAATGTCCATCTTACTATTCAGGCAGACTACATACCCCTCAGGATGATGGAAACAAGGAATTTCAAATGCATCAGTCTAATAGCGGTTGTAGTACTGGTATCCTGAATTGGAAATCTGCTCTACCCAGGAGTGTGAGAATATTGGTAGAAGTGGCAGTGCCATTAGGTCCTGTCCTCTTGCCCCACCTCATTCCTCTAAGGTCTTGCCCCCTGGCTGGGGAAGAAACCAGAGCCGGGCCATGGTAAGAGTCACCAAGAGAGCCCAGGTTGCTGTGAGGGGCACCTGAGCTTCCACCTGCTGTGGACCAAGGGCCTAAGAGAAGTCCATAGCCAGTGACCCCATCCCTTGGAGTGTAGTCCTGGGCAGGTGAAGATCCAGGGCTCCCCATAGTGGCCTGTGCTTCCTAGGCAGCTCTTACTCCTCCTGGGTCTGACTTCTGGTCTAGCCAGGGGGTGGGGCCTCATGGGAAAAAAGAGGAGCAGGGGTAAATCCATGGAGAGGGGTGGGGCCTTGTAGCGAAGGGTAGTTAAGGCCCATCTGAGCCCACCTCGTCAGGAACAGGCTGGTGCCGCAGGCAAGGGCTGTGTTTTGCGGGTAGGAAGCTCATCACCTTATCACTCTATGCCTGTCCAAGGCTTGCAGTTGTGGGGGAGGAGAGGCAATGCAACCCCTGTCCACAAATTACACCCATGTTTAAGAGTGGGTGAGTATGGCCCCGCTGGTTCCTACAGTTCCAGCACTCTTGGCTTTACCCACTAAATACAATCTACAATGTTTGATAACAGTCGATGTATCCACATTGCTATCTTGCAGTTCTCAGAAGCTGGCACATTTCTGAAGAAGGCAGAGGATGATGTTGAATGCAGATTACAAACATGAAGACTTCCCAACCAACTGGTAACTTGGCAATAGACAGTGCAATATCAATTTTGATATCGTCTGCAAGGAGAAAGATTCACCTAAGAATGCCCAGATGTGGCTATAAACAGATGGAGTGACAATTTTTGTAAATATAATAAAAGAGCATCCTGGAGATAGGTAGTATATATAATTTCCTTACTTCCTGGGCCTATGTCTATACTACAGAGGTTTTTTGGAAAAACGGTTGTTTTTCTGAAAAAACTTCACTTATGTCCACACTGCAATCGCAATCTTTAAAAAGGAAAATCGAAAGAACAGAGGTTTTCCGACATTGGTAAACCTCTTTCTATGAGGAAGAAGCCTTTTCCCAAAGGAGCTCTTTCGGAAAAAGGCGTGTCACACTTCTAAAAGCCCTGCGGCGGCTTTTTGTGGGGAAACCATAGCCACGTGGCAGACGTGTGCCGCCTGCTCTGGGGCCGCCCCGAGGGGCAAGGCCGAGGCACAGGATGACGTCAGGGGAGGCGCCAGGGGGGCTTGGCGTCAGAAAGCAGCGCGGAGTATAAAGGAGGCCCGGAGGGGCCCTTGAAGGAGGAGAAGAGGAGCATGCAGAGAGAAGGAGGGGAGAGCGCCGAGAAAGGGGGTGTGCAGCAGCCCAAGGAAGGGTGTGCAGTGCCTCAGCAAGGAGCGGGGTCCACGGGAAAAGATGGTGAACCACCGGGAAACGGACCCAAGGAAGGGACGTGACAGAGGAGAGGAAGTGACCCAGGACTGAGCGATGGAGCCGGAAGGTCACTCAAGAGTTGGTGAGTTAAGGCCGATGCCCCACCAACCAGGCAGGGAGTCGCGTCCCTGTCCTTAGGGTCCTGGGTTGGGACTTGGCGTGAGGGAGGGCCCAGGTACCCCTCCCCTCTGTTGGATGGCCCCATGGCGGAGGCTAGTGGCTAGCGGACATCCGGTGAGACCGGATACCGGGAGCGCTATAAACGAGAGAAAAAGGCAAAAGAAAGAGGGAAAAGACCTTATGAACTGGGTACTCCACGGTAGAGGGTGGAGCACTTCGGGGTTGAGGGGAGATGGGCATTTATGCCTTGACCCCAATGATGACACGGCTGTAGATCTGAGGGCAGGCGCAGACTGTGACAATAAGGAAGAAGCCTTTTTCTGAAAAAGCTCTTTCAGAAAAAGATGCGTGTGGACAGGGAAGAAGAAGTTACTCCCCTTGTGCAGTAACGATGGTTCTTCGAGATGTGTGTCCCTGGGTGCTCCACTGTAGGTGTCGGTGTTGTCCCAGCACCACAGATCAGAGATCTTTTCCAACTGTAGTCTGCCGGACTGCGCGTGCGCGAAGTGCAGCTCGTGGCTTTTCGCACCATTTGAGTGCGCGCGGTCCGGCTCCCGCCAGTTCCTGCTGCCTCTTGATCTGAAAGACATAAAATAGAGACACTCCGAAGAGGGGAGAAGGGCGGGTCATGGAGCACCCACAGGACATGCATCTCGAAGAACCCATCGTTACTGCACAAGGTAACTTCTTCTTCTTCTTCGAGCAGTGTTCCCTGGGTGCTCCACTGTAGGTGGATGCACAGCAGTAGCTCACGAATGGAGGAGGGTCAGAGCTAATGTGCCATAACCGTGGATAACACCGCTGACGCCACCGCTGAATCTGGTATTAGGAGATTGGGGATGGCGTAATGTGTAGCGAAGGTTAAGTTGGAAGACCAAGTGGCAGCCCTACAAATATCTCTCAATGGAACTCCCTTGAGGAAAGCAGTGGACATTGCAACAGCCCGAGTCGAGTGGACAGTGGTTTGTTTCGCAGGTTATAGCAACTCCTTAAACACTGCACAATAACGGAGGAGATGCGTTGCGTGAACAATGGATGGCCCTTAGAGCATTCTGCTATCGATCTTAGTAGTGAGTCTGCCTTTTGAAAGGGTCTGGTTCTTTTGATATAGAAGGCCAGCACTTGTCTGACATCCAAAGTGTGTAGGCGCGAATGCTCAGGTGAAGGGTGTGGTTTGGGGTGGAAGATAGGCAAAACTATAGGCTTGTTGATGTGAAAACGGGAGATCACTTTGAGGAGAAAACGCGGTTGCGGTTGCAATATCACTCTTTGGTGGGTGAATATCGTATAGGGAGGTGAGGTTGATAGAGCAGCTAGTTCGCCGACTCTCCTTGCAGAGATAATTGCCAGCAAGAAAATGACCTTCCTGGATAGGTTATTAAGGTCACACGTTGCTAACGGTTCAAAAGGTTTGCACGTCAAAGCATTCAGGACCATTTCAAAATCCCAAGGGTCTGCAGGTTGGGTATGATGTGGATACAAGTTGGCCATTCCTTTCAGGAACCTTTTCATTATCAGATGGGAGAATACTGACAGGTTGGTGAAAGGCGGTTATTGCGGCAACATGTACTTTAATGGAAGCACAGGTCAGGCCAAAATTTTTGAGATGCACCAGGTAGTCTAGGATGCACTGTATTGGTGCAGAACTTGGATCCAGGCCGATTTGGAAGCACCATGATGAGAAGTGAGACCATTTTGAGAAGTAAGTAGTTCGCATAGATCAGCGTTTCCCAAACTATGGGCTGTGGCCCGGTACCGGGCTGCAGGAAAAAAGTGGTTGCCGGGGTGTTCCGGGCTCCCAGAGTGCCTGTGTGGTGCAGGCGGGGAAGAGGAGGAGGAGGAGGGGAGAGCCGGCCATAAGAAGCAGCACTGGACAGGGGAATCAGGGCAGGCCAAGGAGATTGGGGGAGGGGCAGCCGGCAGAAGCAGAGCTGGGCAGGGAGCTGGCCAGAGGAGATTGGGAGGAGGAGTAGAG